CACACACACACATATATATATATATATATATATATATATATATATATATATGATAAATTGTGTAATTGATTTAATACAATATAAATATGATACAAGATATGATTGATACACATTCATATAGCAATACTTATATAACTAATGAATTGATAAATGACATATAATATAATAAATACATGATATACATGTTGCATTGCATATTATAGATGTACATGCATTGATACTTGATGGCGTATGAAATGAATAAACTAGGTGTTTACTGGCTTAATATGGCAGGTATACTAATATACATGAAATAATATATAAAGGAACTAAAGTATAAGTTATTGAGAAGCATAAATTTATAACAAAACTGTTGTGTTGTAACTTAGCATGGGTATAAAAATAATATGACATATTGATATTTTATATGATTTTTGTTAATTACATTACTTTTATTAAATGGTATTGCTCATATTAATTGCTACACAGTCTTACAGTTACATATTTATATTGAGATGGATTTATTGATTGCATACATATAGTTCCTATTCTTTTGCATTGATTGCAATGGTATCCTAATGATATTTTAGCTCACTCTTGTGATTTTAAAGTATTTTTCAAGAAGGGATCATGTACCAATGGAGTGAGATTGATTAGGATTTTCATATTTTATTTATTTTTTGTATTCTATTTTTTTTTTTATATAGTTTGAAGTATATGATAGTAAATTGATGTATTGATTTAACTCCTAGCTATTATAAATTAAAATTTATATTTATAAATATAAAAATATTTTGATGTACATGAAATAAAGTTAGCTTTGCTTGACTGATTTATATTGATGAATTATTAGTGATTCTAGTATATTAATTTTGTTTGGGTAAAGATTCTAGTATATTAATTAAGTGATAAAATGAACAATTCTTCCAAATTAAATTATGGGCATCACTGAAAAGTTGTAGAAGATCATAAAAAATTTTATGTTGAAAAACTAGAAAGGAAAAAATTACGGGGTATGACCTAGTTGCAATAATCTACTATAGAATTAGAAGTAAAAAAATCATCCCATTTTCATGATTGAAAAAGAGGGAATATGTTGGAAACAATTGATTGATTCTTGCATAGGCATTATAAAAACCTATGGTCCACAAAAAGACAGCTAAAAACTCAACAACAGTGTTAGATGTTGTCAAAAGTATAGATATGACATCGTAATTATTGGTGATAATCATCGTCGATGATAGACAAAAAACATGATAGAGTTATTTAGCTCTCTTTGCTCTTGAGTTTCTCCAATATGTAGGGAAGATAGCCTTATTTATAGGCTCTTTAGAATGAGCAATTCGGTAATTTTGATAAAAAATACAAAAACAATATATTGTACGACCCATATTGATCCCCCTTTTTTATTTTTTTTATATTGATCCCCTTAATTATGGATTGTTTATCAAATATTTAAATGCCTTGAAAATATTATAATCGATTGATTTTGGGTTCATTAGATTTGTTTCGTCATACCACTCGTTTTGACTAAAAAATTATTTTAATTACAACCATTTGATCAATTAATTTATGTTAGAAAAAATTCAATCATAATTTAAATGAGTGAGTTGAGCTTATTTGTACTTAGATTTGCCTTTTTATGATTCCCACCAATGGAGGTCAAAGGAATTGTAGTCAGCGGTTGCGGAGGTTGGAGGTCTGATGATGGTTTTCTAATGAAGGTCTGACGGTGATAATTGTGCAGAGGTCTTTGTCTATAAAATTATTTTAATTACAACTCATTTGATAAAGTAATTTATGTTAGAAAAAATTCAATCATAATTTAAATGAGTGAGTTGAGCTTATTTGTACTTAGATTTGCCTTTCTATGATTCCCACCAATGGAGGTTAAAGGGATTGTAGTCGGCGGTTGCGGAGGTTGGAGGTCTGATGATGGTTTTCGAATGGAGGTCTGACGGTGATGATTGGGCAGAGGTCCAGCAGAGGCTCCCTTATATAATTATCTATGTTTATTTATGTTAATCAACAATAATAATAGTCTGCTTGCTAAAAAAAATCCAATATTAATTTAATGAGCATAAACTTATACAACACCGATAAAAAATTAGTAAGTCATATTGAATCGAGCATCATTTGTTTATATTTGACTAATTAGTTATGAACATTTATGAATATGAATTGAAGAATTAAGAACTCATTGTCATCAAATTTCCACTAAGTAAGGCTTTGTTTGGGACGACTTTTTACTGCTTCTTAAAGCAAATTTTTAGTGTAAAAATTAAAATTTTCTACTATTTTTTTTTAAGAAACAGTAAAAAAGCTGTCCCAAATGAAACCTAAAACTGATATTTGATTTCTATTTTTTTTTTCAAACACTTGTATGACGTCCACATTTAGATTTTCTTTAGTTTGTTTTGATTTTTTTAATATAATTTTCACTTTTGTTTAATTTTCTGTTTTTTTTTTTAAATGAGAGTGCTTTGGAATAATCATAGTTATTCATATATAATATAATATATCATAATGCTCATATTTGGACAAGCCTCTTATATTTTTATTTGAGAAAATAAATCAGAAATTCTATTTCAAATAATAATACTCTTATATTTAAATACGAGGGATACACTCTATGTTAACATGAACGTTTAGATTAGGCTACTTTGATTTGGCTAAAACTCTGTTTTTACGGTTGTAATTTTGACTTGAAGCCTTCAACCAGCTCGCATAATTGATCCCTTCCATCCCTTATAGGAAATGTTAGAGAGAATATTTATATTTAAACTAGAATGCATTCACACCATTCCCTCCCTTCCAACATGATGGAAATGAGTTTGAAACCTTCGTTCCAAACAACAGCTTTGAAATTGGGTAAAACCCTAAGTTCAAAAATATTATATACATAATATAATATGAGATTTGAATTGAAGTTTGTTCTAAGTTCAAATATAATTTAAATATATAATACAAGGTTTAAATATTATTCGAATCTAGTATGTACTTCTTTTTTCAAACCTAGGGCTAGGGGTGTCAAAATAGGTCGGCGGGCCGGGTTCGGGTCAAACCCAAGTTAATCCGGGTCTAAACGAGTCAACCTAAACCTGCCTCGATTTTCAATGGGTTAGGATTTCTAACCCAGACTTGACCCTTTTGGATTGTTGGGTTGACCCGACCCTCGAACCCTGATGCAAACAAGCAAGGCTAGCAAGGGCTGAATCGACATTGTGGTAGGCGAGGCCAACGCTGAGTCGAGTCACGAAACAACGACAAGCAAAGCCAACACGGGCTAAGGTGGCGCCGGCGCCGCTGTGGTCTGCGAGTGTGGGGTTGACGTTGTCTAGTCGTGCGGATGTGTAGGGTATGGCCGATTGGTGAGTGGCGGTCTAGGACATGACATCGATTGTTAACCTGGGTCTCGCGATACTCTACACGGCGGCATCAATGGCTGCACTCGACTATACATGGTCACGTGACACGAGAGCTTAGACAGCTAGCCTGACGCGACGAGACAAGGTCAGGTTTGATTTCAGGTTGATGCGGATGGCTGGCCTAACGCCTGATGCGACGCGACTAGACGCAATCACTTTCCCGAGTCAACCCAGGTTGATTTTTGGTTTACGAGTCAACCCAAACTCGACCCGTATGTCAAACACGTTGACCCAAATCCTAAATTTTTGATTCGGGTTCGGGTCGGGTCAGATTTTGACACCCCTACCTAGGTTTCTACTATAAGAATAAAAAAAAGATGGTTAACCTATATTCAAACTATATACGAACAATTGAACTAAAAGAATTGGGTTTAAACTTTATTCAAACCCCAGAGTTTGATCTTCAAGTTTGAAATAGAGTTTCTAACTATTTGATTCGATTCATGTTTGAACTATGTCAAAACTTCTATTCAAATATAGTTTGAGGTTTTGTTTTGGGAAGCTTTTTTAATGATTTCTAAAATAATTTTCTAGTACAAAAATTTCTATTTCAACAAACTTTTGAACTAAAAAATTCTTTTAAGAAAGCAGTAAGAAAGTTATCTCAAATGAAGCTTGAATATGATTCAAAACTAGTTTTTAAAAATTTGTTTAAGAACATTAAATTGAATCTGAGTTTAAATACTATTTGCGTCCAGTAATTGAACAATTTTTTTTCTCATCATAACGCATAAAGTTAATTCATTTCATTTACTTCACTATTTATACACATGCCAAATTGTTTCAATATATATATTAGGTCATCTCCAACCGAGAACTCTATTTTTCACGCCAAAATACCTCAAAAAGCAAAAATGGCGTGGTGCTGCTCCAATCCAACGCCATTTTTTTGTTTCTGCGCCAAGGTAACGACCCTTCTCCTTTCTCGCATTTTTCCGGTTGACAGAGAAAAATCGCGTGGGTGTTCACCCGCAAGCAAATGGAGGATTTTTTGGCGTTCGGCTGGAGCGAAGGAATGACGCCAAACACTCGTTTGGCGTTCGGTTGGAGATGCCCTTAGAATTCAATCAAGTGCTTTAAATATTTTGACCTTTTTGAGAGAGTTCACAAAATTTCTCTTGGAGCATTTCTTTAATGCCCATGAGTTATGGCCTCAAATTATTGCATCTGGTCATCGGACGCGGAGATAGGTTCGGATATTAATAAAATATTATTTTAAATTAAGCGCATCAAAAGCGCAGGTAAAGCGCGGGTCAAAGCGCAGTCAAAAGCGTAGGTAAAGCACAGTCAAAGCACAACTAAAGCACAACAAAAGCGCAGCCAAAAGCGCATGTGAGGTCATAAATTTTTATTGGATGTGGAAGAAAAGTCCGAACCTATTTTCTTCTGGCCTTCAATTCTTCGGGCCTAAATCTTGTTAAATTAAACATAGTAAATTATGTATTTATTAAATTAAATATTAAATAAAATTAAACATTTAATTAACATTTTTTTACTTAATTAAATGTAATTAAAATTTTATTTAATATATTTAAGTTATATTTTATTAAACGAAACCATTGGCTTTGCATAAATCCGCTCCCCAAAATTCCCGAAACCCTCGACGGGGAAGAGGCTAGAAACTCGAGAAGGGAGGTCGCTGTCGAAGGCATCGACGGCGAAAGCAGCTTGTGAAGAAGAAGACGAGTTCGTAAGACTTGCGGATTTGCTAAACCTAAAAAATTTATACGCGTGCAGCTAATCTAAAGAGCCATTGTGGTTGTACGTTGTACTTCATGCGATTACCCGAATTCAAACAGAAGAATTTGTTAGTCTCGGTGTCAGAGTTCCGCCTGCCTCGCCATGGCGCTTTGCAGAGCTTGGAGGACCCTTTTCATCTTCCTCCTCCCTCTAATCTTTACCCTCCCACTTCTCCTGTCAGGTATGACATCTCTTCCCTATCCTCCTCAAAATTGTCCAATGTTATAAATCTAGATGTTTATGGTGTCCTTCTCTCTTCAGTCTTCGAGCTTCATCAGAAACCGATCCAACAAGAGCAGAAGAGAAATTTCCCAAATAAATCAGACCATTTGATCCTCGGGCCTGCCGCTGGCCAGGGTTTGCCTAAACGACTCCAGTGCGAAGGTAAACTGCCGGCATTAAACATTGCTGTTTTACGAACGATCACTTAGCTTGATCGTTTTTACTTCGACAAAACTGAAATTCCATGTTTGCCGAAGCAGAGAAGGAATGTCCTGTGTGCTTGTTTCCGGCATAGGTTAAGGTTTCCTAGAGGTGAAGTTATTAAGTGCGGAGTACTGACCTAGAGCTATATACAGACTCCAATATGGGACGTGTTTTTTGGTGATATTTTTTTTCCAACCACATTTTTTTTTAATAATGCGTGATCGGACTATTTGGCCCAGTTAATTTAATTAATTATTTTTCTGTTGTCAGCACTATGACTCGACCTTATTCAGAGGTAATATTTTTGAAAAAAAGAAGCCGAAAGGTCAGGTTCACTTATGAAATCGTACGGAAGTGTACAAATTTTAGGATTTTGCAATCGGAATGTCGTTTTTCATTTCGAACAAAGATTGTTTTCGTCAACTTCACTCATATAAGATGTTTTTTATCTTTAAGAAGGCAAGGTCCATAATTGCTCTTTTCATTCTATTTATTGTTTAGAGTTTATTATGATCATCAAATTAATTTTATGAATTTTATTTTATTTTATGTAAATTTAAAATTTATATACTATATTTATTTTTCTAATTATATCAATATCAACACTTTGAAGGCATGGACGATGAACTTCTATTTACTGTTTTGGGTTTCTCAGTAACTGACATTTCATACTCCCTATTTTATGATCTCCTATTTTATGACTGAAACTTACATTTTCTATTTTGATTCCGCATAGAATGATTTATTATTTTATAAGCTTATACACTTTACGTATAATACAAATTCTAGACTTTTTGTACATAGTGTGTATAAAGTTAAATTCTGTGTGTACAACTATATACACATATTATTAAAAAGTATTATTCAAAACTTTTAAAATATTTGTATAAAACAAATTAATATACATTGACATTTTGTCGTTGCAAATGTATATCCCAACAGTTAATTTTCATTATGATTCTCAACAGTTGGAGTTGTCTGTGACTCTTTGACAGTGATATTATGCGATGAAGTCGAGGACGCTTTGAAGATGTTAAACATATTTCAGTTTAAGGAGTTTTATACATTTTAGTAAAATATATCTCTGATCTATATGTTGCTGTAATTTTGGGATGTGCCCAAACATGCATTCATGATCAAGGGGCATGAGCTATGATTTATTGCAAATGAAATTGCTCTAATAACTGATTTGTCAAATATGGATGAATTGATATACTAAAAAATTAAGACACTAATTAAATATACTGAAATCGATATTAAAAATGAAATGAAGAACATTGATAGATCAAGCCCCTCATACCATTATTATAAATATATACATAAAGTTTCTATTGTTCAATTTTTTTTTCAACAATAACTATAGTATTCAAAAGAAGCTCATTAGTATTACTCAGAATATAGATGAGTTCACAAGATTTAATTGGCTATGATTATTAGAGATTTCTTATTTCTTTAGTTTGATCGTATGATTATGAAGTTTGTTGATTATCAAATTAAATAATTAATAAATCCCTAATTGTCATAGGCTAATTGAACTTGTGAAGTCATCTATATTCTAGGCAATACTAATAGCCGCTTTGGGGTTTTATAATTATTATTTGGAAAAAATAAATTGGACAACAAAAACTTGATGTACATATTTATAATAACGATAAGGGAGATTGATTTGTCAATGATATTTATTTTATTTTTAATATATATTTCAATATATTTGGTTAGTGTCTCAGTTTCCTAATATATCAATTCATCCGTGTTTGACAAACTGGTCATTAGAGCCACTTCATTTGCGATAAATTGTAGCTTATGTACTTTGATCATGAATATTTGCTTGGGCAAATTTCAAAATAGCAGCAATATGCAGATCATGGGTGTATTTTGCTGAAATGCAGGAAACTTTTTAAATTGAAATATGTTTAACATCTTCAAAACGTCTTGATTTCATCACGTATATCCTTGCCAAAGAGTTGCAGTCAACTCTAAATGTTTAGGGTATGCAATGAAAATTAACCTTTGGGATGTACAACGAAAAAATATTACTATATATTAATTTGTCTTATTAAAATACTTCAGAAGTTTGAAATAATATTTTTTTTAATAATATATGTGTACATGATTGTACACAACATGAACAAACTTGTACAGAGTGTGTATAACCTTGTATACTCTGTGTATAAGGGGTTTAAAATTTGCCTTATATGTAAACAGTACAAGCTTGTAAACAAGAAATTATTCTGTGGAGTCAAAATAGTAAATGTAGGTTTCAATTGCAAAACAGAAGATCGTAAAACAAAGTGTATGAGATGCCAGTTACAGAGAAAACCAAAACAATAAATTTAGATTCGGCATTTTTGCCTTCAAAATGTTGATATTGAAATAATTGAGAAATATATACGGTCCATAAATTTTAAATTTTATAAAAAAATTATAAATTAAATTTGATGGTCATCGTAAACCCTAAATAGTAAACTAGATGAAGAGATTGAGTGATGATGGACCTTGCCTTCTTGAAGATAGAGAGCGCCTTATATGAGTGAAGTTGTTGAGCAATTATTGTTTGATGATGAAAAACAATATTTCGATAGCAAAACCCTAAAAATATTGCACTTATGCATGATTTCAAAAGTGAATGCGCCGCATAGGCTTTATTTTTTAAAAAATATTTCCTCTAGACCGGGTCGGCTTATCGTGCTGGCAAAAAAAAAAAAAAAAGCTCGGTCGGGTCATTGGGTCACGCGTTATTAAAAAATCCACGTGGTCCCAAAAAAAGAAATTCACCAAAAAAACACGTGTCAACCACGGATTGGAGTCCGGACATAGCTCTATTACAGAACCCCACATGTAATAATTTCTCCACCCGAAGCGTTTTTAGACTCTCATTGCTGATTCATGGTCATGAAAAGATGTGACATTTTCCAAAAGAATTGCTATATATTTCATTCATTGACACAAGAAATGCTTTGTTGCTTTTCATTTTCAATGATGATGGACCTTTTTGTCTAAGCACTTTAATCTTCTTAAATTTTTATTCTGAAATACAGTCTGGGCAAATCATTCAATCTTTTTAATTTAGAAGTGAAAATGTTAACCATATGTATGTTTTTCAAATAAAGATGATGTTAAACAACATGATAATAATTTTGATAAATTTCTGTGATGTGATCTAGATTTGACTATGTTTCTTTTTTATGAGGTAAATGACGTATGATCTGATTGAATTTGGGGGACTATTCTATTAAAAGGTTAAATTGAAGTAATTCTTCTTACTATATTGAGCTGAATTTTAATCGACTGAGAAATTGCCAATATGGTAAATACCATGAAAACTGCAAAAATTATGGCTTTATATATGCCCTTGTTTTCCTTTATTTTTTTACACAATTTAGCACTATATGAATTTCTATTGTGTTGTTTTTCTATGTTAATATCCATTATGCATTTTTGCTAAGCTTTTCATGAAGTACTCTGCCTGAATTTAAATTCACAGAATCACATCATAACTATTCATCGGCACAGGTCTCAAAGCTATGAATCTGATTATTTTGCCAAGCTCACAGAAGAATCTTGATACAAGCGAAAAGGTGTCTTTTGTGTCAGTGTTTACTGTGTATAACAGTTCTCATAGGACAGAAGTGGAAAGCATAAATGAAAATTTTGATAGCAAGGTGATAGTTGGGAGGACTTCATATACTAGGACGGAGAGATCAATGGCCATCCTCAAAACCTTCATTAACTTTATTCAGGTATGTTTCAATATGTTCAAAACATACATGCATGCATACATTTAGCCAATAAAGTTGATGTTTGGCTTCTGTAAGCTACGTTCATAAAACCTCATATAGAGTATGCTTGAAATTGGTAAGTGTAAAAAATCGTGTTTTTGCATGTCAGACTATTTCTTTGTCCCTTAAAGATGCAAAAACACAAGGAGATTTTAATGAAGTATTCAATCTTGCTTCTCAATTTTAATAATCCCGTGTTTCATTATTATTTTCATATGTTGTAATCTTCATCAGTAATCATATCCTGACTAAGTGCCTATATAATACCATAGAATTTTCTTTCATAATTTGAATGCCTTTGTCTAGCCTCATTCAAATTTTCATGAAATTAGGCAATCAAATGACCCTCTTAATTTAATACTCTATTAATAGCTGTATCAGCTATTTATATTTTTTTTTTCATGACATTTTGTAGTTGGTGCCATCACATTATTAAATCTCTTTGTGAACTACCTATATAGAGTACCCAAACTATTAAAATTTTGAATCTTGTGAATATGTGAATATTATTAGGTGTTGGCTAATTATTATTTCATTAACTTTATTATAATAAATGAAAAATCCTTCACTAGACAAAACAAGTCATAAAAAGAGCAAGGAATGTGTACCAAAATAATGCTTCTTCAAATTCAAATTCAACTTATTATGCATAGATTTAGGCTCCAAATGATCATCCCATCTTGTTATGGATCAAATATAATTAAAATATTTAATAAGAAACTCTCCAATTAAAAAAGTGACAGAGGAGTGCATTATTTAATAAAAATACATCACCACCATTCGTATAATTCATTTTTAATTAAAAAAAAACATTTTTACTCTTCTCTTTCTTTTATTCTCATTTGATGATAAACAGTAAATCAATTTTAGAAGAAATCAGAGCATTAATCATCATGTCCAATATATTGTTCACATGACGTATAAAAAATAATTATTTGATGAATCAATTGCTTCCCTATTCACATGTGCGCCTACTATAAGTCGGCTGATTATCCCAACATATTCTGTTGGATTCTTTTTGTAATGTGGCAAGTTAGACAAAGATGATATATGAATTTAATCAATAGATATATGTCCTTAAGTGGCAGGAATGTGCCAGAAAGATCATTGAAACACATATCTTTAAAACCAGACAACACTTGACCAACGACCTTAAACATAGTCACATTAAACATAGTCTCATTTTGATGCACATCATTATTCAATTCAATAGCCATTAAAGTATAAATAAATTCATCGTTTCTACTTTTATTTTCAAACTCATTTATTCATAACATGCAAAGTTATTTTAATTCCTTTGGAGCACTAGATTCTTTAGCAGTTGACATAGAATTACTTTTGATTTGTAAGTTTCATAGCTACTTTTCTTCCATTCTCTTTAACACATAAATATTTGATCTTACTAATTGAGTAATATCTAAATCATACAACCATGGCTTTCCCATAACAACACATGTTACATACATAGGGTTTCAAATTAGGAAAATTTAATATTTAATTAATTACTAGTAGGGCACATGGTATGTGGCTGCTGACAAATAATGATAATCTAAGGCCAAATATATCCTGCATTTCACACATGCAGCTAGTAAAATTAAGATTTAACAAAGTTAAATTATCACACTAAATTTTATCAATGGATATGACAAGTTGAATGAAAACTAAACATCGTTGTATAAAAAAAAATAGTAGTCTTACCTAGCTAAGCTTACTTATGTGATTGTCGATATGGTTTAGGTTTTAAGGGACGAAGTCCTGCATATTTTCATGACCGAAGCGATGATTGCTCCATCTTCTCTAAGCAACACAAACGGTTCATCTTCCATTGCCAACTTCAAGCGATGGACCGCTTGCACCTCTTTGTGATTGTGAGTCCGTCCCTTTTTTCTTCTTCTTTCTTTCGAACATCCTCTTCTCCAATTGATGAGCTCTTCATCTTCGACAGCCCTTCTTCACGATTCTAGGTAAATGAACCGGCATTCTTCGGCTCATAATTACATTCAAATTCAATAAAAATTCAAAATTCAATATTTATCAAATTTTAAAATGCTTAAGTGAAATATACTCCTATGTAACTTAAAGCAAAATCCATATTCCCTTTACAATCATTTATCAGGTGTGATAAATTTAAGAATATTTTTAGCTTGCAAAGATTCAGTGTCTTGTCGAGAACTTTAATAAATTTCATTCTAAATAATCTCCTGCCAGTAAGGACATGTGGGCATGACCTATGTCCTTTGACCAACTATTTTTTTTCACAAAATGACATCACATGTGAGCGTTTATGACTGAGGCTCTCTGACTAGCTTGTTTTAGCACAGATAGGCACCATTAAATTATGATTATGACTAGAGCCCATATGTTCTCCAGTGTATATAACTCTTACGTAATGAATCATAGAGTATACTTTGGTAGGGTACAATGACATTTTTTTGTTAATATCGATTTGAATTTGTCGCCTTGGACAAACATTAACCATAAGTTTATAAGGTACCTTGGATGAAGTAACCTATGATTGCCGACAAGAAACTTTCAATCAGGTTGGGTTGACCACCTATGATGTAGACAAAGGGGGGGTCAACACAAGTCCAAAATAATTTAGATTTTGGCTTCCCTTGAGTCTAGTAGCTCAATCAAAATTGAGCTAGAATTTTAGCTCATTTATGAGCTAGGCCTTAGTTCATTTATTGAACTAGGGGTTAGCTCATTATTAGCTATGAATTTTAGTTCATATTTATCTTTATTTAAATGCACTTTTATTATAGTTTTTAATGTCTTAAAAGTTGTCTCTTGGATTTCCAAAAAAAAAGGCTTTTGGGAATCCAAGATAGTTGTTTAGTCTTCCCATGTGTGGCTCCTTGAATTCCACCATGGGATGTTGAATTTTGTGTATGCCTCTTGGGATCTCACGGCTGGCTCCTTCTTCCGTGCGGTTCCTTCGTTTCCCGTGGCTGTGGCTCTCGGTCCGTGCGGTTTCCTTCGTCTCCCGTGGCTGTCTCCTTGGTTCCTGGTTTGGGTGTAACCGAGAGCTTGGGGGGAAGTTTTCTATGTATTTTAATGCTTTGAATTAAGTGTTAAATTAATGTTTGTGTCTCTTGGTCTTCCCCTTTCATACCTATAAATATGGGGGGTTATGTAATGTTTTAAAAAGTGAATGATATTTGATTTTTGGAAAAAATCTGTTAACCTGCGGGTTGCTTGGAAATCCTGCGGGCTCTTTCCACCCTTCTTTCTCATCCCCTCCGGAAATCCTGCGGGCTCTTTCTACCCTTTCTCTCGGGCTTCTAACCTCTTTCGTCTCTCCGCAAGTGCCACTCCACCTGTATCCTTCTTCTCTAAGTGAAGCAACTTTAGGGTGTCGTCGTGTTGTTGCAAGTCGTCGTTGTAATTTCTTCTTTTTATTTTTTAATTTTAATTGTAAGAGTTTGTTCTTCCCTTTTCTCTTCTTTTAGTCATTTTCGTTAGTAGAAGTCCGTCGTGTCTATTGTGGGCGAAGGGTATAGGCTCCCTATATCTTTTTGCCCGCATCAACCTACTATGACTAAGTAGCTAAAGGATTACAATAACATGGGATGACGAAACCATGATATCTTGATTGGATTTGCAGCATTTGCCACCATTTACTTTAAGTGCAAGGTGGTAAAAATCAAATTTGATGCTACTATACGTTAGATACTTAGTACATTTCTAATGATTATTTTAATAGAAAGTACTCTCTCAGCATTGAGAATGATAATTAACCATATGAGCTTATGTTTATTGGAGACCTGAACTTAGATTTTAAATTTCTCGTAAAATAAGGGCAAAATATCTGGATATTGTTCTATCTTCAAACTAATTTACCTTACAAAAGATTTGGTCTGAAACATTCTATTAAGATTCTCTTGAAATGCGGGAGGCCGGGGCACCAATTTTGGGTACCACACTCACTTTTAATATTATGTCTCAAATAAAACCTAAATTTTTAGTGTGGTTCTGGTGTCCTCAATGATCTTAGAATACAACTGCAATTCTTCAACTTTGTTCATGTACTCAATTACAATTTTGTCCTTGTTTTAATTATCTAAATTCATTAAAGTTGTTGATCACAACATAACAAACAAATATTTTTACTTTTGCTGTTTTTTCATTTCAGCCCAGATAGTTGTAGGCAATCTTCTGATTTTTTTTCTTTATTGCTTCCCATGCTCATTCCTTAATTTTAGTTTTCCAATCTCACTCGATGCTCAAAAGACGTTGTTTGTTATTCTAAGAAATTTCATGTTCATATAACCCATTCATAAATATGCAACTTCGGGTTCATTTGGTTAAAATTGAATGGTTTCTAAATTTGCACTTTGCTTGTTAACTTGATTGATATTCTCACAAATTTGTTTTCTTATTCAATAGTTTAGCCAATTGTTTTCGCAAATTAGTTAAAATCATATCCCTTTGATAATCTATTAATTGACCATGTTATTGTTCCCTACTTCAAATTGGCATGTTGAATAATCTCAAACTCTAATACCAATTTGATGCATATTTTTTTTTAGTAGTGTGCTTTATGAGTAAAGCGAAGAGGTGCACTGGCCCTTTGTGTTGATTTCCTATAAAATGCATGCGCATGATATAACATGCATGTTGTGCCACTTTGCCTTGTCATGTCTCAGCGGTGCACGCTTGGCTATGACTCAAAAATAAAGTCTTAGTTCATATTTCGTGGTTTGGTTCAGCATGTGCTGCAATAATTATGCTTAACTGTTTTCTTCTTACTGTTTCTCACAGTCAATAAATCATTACTCTTTGGTTCAATGCTTTCTTGCACTAAGTTTGTTACTTTGTAGTTTTTATATTCACATTCTCTCCCCGCTTGTTCTTTTATTTGCTCACCAGTTCTTGCTACTAGTGCTTGTTGATTCACTTTAACAAGCTTATTCCTAAGGATGCTTCTTGATTCCTCCTCTTCGTACTCTCTTGCTTCACGCTTCCTCCTCTCAGTCCTGGTTGGTCGCTGAAATCTCGCGAGTATTCTTAATTTTTTAAGTTTTCTTTCGTTACTTTATTATTTAAATTGTTATTTTTTTTTTCTTTTGGATAATTGTAAATTAATATGATTGAACATATTTGATATATCTAATGTGGTTCAAATTTGACTGATTAAATGACTATTGTATGTACATAACACATGCATATATGATATTAAAATCATGAATGTTCTAGTTTGGAGAGTATCAAAACATTTTGTTTAGTGCCTTGAAAATAAGATGGAGGACATCTTATTAGTGCTTATGGGTTTCTGATGCAGCTATGTGATGTGATGGATGTAAACAACACAACTTAGATCTGAGATTCATAATTCCAAAGGATTCCAATACAATTAGAATTTATCTATGGTTGTAAACCTGATAGTACGAGAAATTCATATTGAATGATAATAAAATAATTATTTAAATCTAAGAAATTAAATGAGAAAATTGAGACCATTAAAATAGCACAATCGAAGAAGATTTACACATTAACTCAAATCAATCAAATTCATAACCCAATTCTTAATTATATAGATGAAAAGAGAACAAGGTATGAGATCATTGAACACAAAAATATATGCCTCATGCTCACAAAAGGAGATGATTTCCTCCGGAAAAAAAAATGGTGGTTGCTTTTATATGGCACTTGAAGAAATAAACTTGTAACGAAATACAAGATTGAACAGAGCAAAATATTTTATTAAGCCCAAAAGCTCCCTAATACATGCCTTAAATATGATATTTGTTATTAGCTAACTCGTCAAGGTTGGTTGTTTCAAAGAGCATGATCATAGATCAAAATCACCCTGATTTGCATGACAAGACAGCATACGGTGAGATGAAAGTCCCAACACTCTAACTTGATAGAAAACTTGCTACTCTACGGACATCAGTATAACCATTAGAATAAGGTTATAAAATAGATAACAAGAAACCCCACCAGCAAAAGTTCACAGCTTGCTACAGGAGCCTAACTCGGGATTCTATATATACCACAACGTAGAAGTCAACAATTAGGATATAAACAGTGAACTCAATGCCAAACCGCTCAACCTAATAGCAAACTCATGACGGGGATGACTGAACTAAGTAGCACAACAACCAAAATGGAGCATTAAAAATAATAAGAGAACACATACTATTCTCATAGGCATCATTATGGGCTTGTTCCAAATTAATTTGATTTAAAAACAAAAAATAAAACAATTAAAAGAAGAAATACTCAAAATATCGATTGGCTAATTTCCTTGTTTAAATGTACGGGACTAATGTTTCTGACAAGTGTAGATTTTCATATCTTCCTCAAACCTCCTTTTACATGGATGTAACCACCTTGTTTTGGCTGCACGTCCTTCTCTCCTCTTCAGTGTCGCAGATGCTAGCTAACCTATCACAAGTGAATTGGCACTGCCCCAACCATCCTGTATTGTGCAGCCATGGTTTCAACCAGCTGACCATGGATCAGCAACATGCACTCACACTTTCGTTGTTGCTTCATCCTACAGTAACCTGCCCTAGCCTCCCTCTCTTATGCTCCATTCCTCCCTTCGTTCTCTTTTACATAGTCAGGTCTGTTTAAGTTTTTGAGTTAACGATCAACTGGAATTGAATCCAAAATGAATTTGGATTGACCCCAGCTGACCTTAGTATGCTTCAAGCCAGTCTGATTCCTATCCGAATACTACATGTCATTTGCCCTAGCTGCTTGCAGAAAAGAAATGTTCTAAATTAGCGCGTTCTGCTATTTGAATATTTTGATGGATAAATGCCTAAACTTCCTATCATAATATTTCGGTTGACTTCTTATTTTGATACTCTGTTTAGTATTTAAATTGTTTGGATGCAATTTTGGCATATAAATATAAGTTAGCAAGTTTATATACTTTACCAAATATTTTTTATATATTCTTTTACTTTCTTACTTTATTAATTCTTCCTCTTATATGTAGAACTCTGCAGGTTTCTATGCCAAGGAGCTGCATATTCTTGTTGACTGATCCTGCTGCTGAGCTTACGATAGAAAGAAATAATGTCACTCTATTTCCAATTTTAGGAGACTATGCCCGAGGTCAACTGATGCTCCAAAGAATTAGATCTTACATAGTAAGATTCTCTTTTGCCATTCCAAATTTTTTTGGTACCCTTATTGTTAATTTCTGGTAAAGGCCATTCATTTTTTTGTATTCATCACACGGTCTGCACCATCAATATTGTATTTTGACGTCACCTGAAGCTCATTTCTATGAGGCAATTTACTTATTCAATTTTTTGCGTTTTAACACAAACTTAGCACTATTATTTTCTCAGAGTCCATAATATTTGTTTAATCCAGGAAAAAGCTCTGTATAATCATTAATCCAAAATTTTCATAGTTTCAACACGTTCCTTGTGACAGGATGATCATTTTCTCGTCAACGTTAGAATGTTCTAGTCAAGGTTTTAGACCTTAAAAATCAACATGGAGACTACATGATTTAAAAATAGGTTTTTAAGAGGTCTTCAGCCGATTCAAGACTTAATCAGCTATAGAGGTGGACCAGGTGGTGTACATGCGGAGGAGAAAATGCAGGTTTTATAGGCCACCAAACATTTGATGTCTTCTTCCTCTTCTTTCTTTCTATAACATTTTCAATATCATTACCCTCATCAACGTCTTTACCATCATTTCTTGATTTTCAGTAGTCCATCTTTCAACCTCATCATCAATTTTAATGTTATCAGTAATTGTGTCATTCTCATTCTTAGGTTCACTACCAACATAAGATTGACGTTGATCATCAAGTCTTTCAATTTTAACTTGTAAGGGCTCACAATTCTCTGTTTATATGCTTACAGATGTTGACATGCCATACAAAGATTTCAAATAAAATAAGAGATAAGATTTTCAAATGAAAGAGGCGGTAAGATATTACAGGTGTTGACATGCTATACAAAGATTTCTAATAAAAAAGTCATATATTAAAATTAATAAAATATAATTTTTTGAGAAATACTGAATTTATCATTATTTTATTAGGTTCATAAGCTACAAGAGTTATTTTGGGTTCACCAAAAGTCAGGCTATTTTGAATTAAGACATTCTATTTTGAATTTTCTCATATTTTCATCATTTTTATGCAAAATTGTATATAAGAAAAATATTGTAGATAAGCTCATTGCACAGGTTATATAATGAAGAGTAGGCTTGATTTGAAAAGACAATTTCTAAGCTTGATATTAATAAGTGCTATGACGAAAAAGATAGAATTTTCTAAGATTTATCCTTTATTTCTTTGCGTTTTATACCAGCGTTAATGATTGACCTTCAATTTGCATACTATAACCAATGTTTAAAATTGCGCAATTGGGTATTGAGGTGTTTTTTTGTTTGTGAGGCGAGACGTAAGCTTCAAGGTGTTTTGAGATATAAGCCTCAAAATCTAAAAATTACGTAAAGTCAAAATAAAAGTCAAAAGTTATTTTTTATATAATATTTAAATAATATATTAAAAGATGGCATATTAACTTTCTATTGAACTATGAAGTAATAAATTTACATACATGAAATTACTAATATGATGTTTTTTTGAGTCATTGTCATAACAAATTGATCTCATCCTGGTCTCATCCTGTAGGGTCCAATACTCTCAATTTTTTCTTCTTTATCTATAGTCATATTCATTTTTCATAAATGTTTATCACTAACATAAATATAATACTCCAAAATTTTAAGAGAAGATGGTGGTGGCATGCAGCTTTCTAATGATCTCCTGCGGCGGCTACGAAGGTGGTGGCTACGGTGAAGGCAGTGGGTTGGAGGTCGAGACAATTGAGAGGAAGTTGTTGAGGCTTGGGGGTGCAAGAAGGCATGATTTTTTTGGGGCTTTTGTATAAAATTTAGGTAAGTTTTAAATTAAAAAAATTCATAAATAGAGTAAGGCGTACGCCTCATGCCAGCGAGGCGAGGCGCGCCCGGTCTCATCCAAGCTGAGGCATAAGCCTCATAGAAAAAGCTTGAGACGTAAGCCTCAAGGCGTTTTTTACTGGAATTGCGCTAAGGCGGGCCTCAAGGCGAGCCTCATATTGCACAATTTTAAACAATGACTATAACTGCTATTTTTATCATGATTAATGAAGTTTTGCCTCCAAGATCTGAAGAAATTGTTATGATTAATGAAGTTCTGCCTAAACTCTAAAGCAAGGAAAAGGCAGATCAAACTTGTAAATGCAAAAGCAATGAAAAATAGAAGATGAGAAGATAACTACTACAATAGTTAAAAATAATGAAAGCACATTCACAACTACTAAAGCACCGGAAAGCATACATGTAAACTTTGCATATATTTACAAGTTATGTGTTGTTTTCTAGCCATATACCAAAACAAAGTGGCGCACAACAGAATGAATAAAATAATAGACAAGAATACACATAAAGAGGGAAATATAGAGAACATGAAGCGAAAAAATGTAAGATTTTTCGATTCCATGAAAGATTATCTTATATCCAGCAAGAAACTACGGGCGAAGTCTAATGAAGAAGAATAATAGTCAGAAATTGCAATCGTTTGAAACAATAGCAAGGGAAGGAAATATAATGGACAAATCGCACGAAAGAGAAGAGCCGATGTCGTGATCCGGCGAGAAACTGCTTTCAATAGCTAGTTGTATAAGTCGAAGTCGTAGTTGACCACCGCTCTTCAGACGAAAGACGAAGATGATGTGGAAGACGAAGCCGCAGTCTACATGAGGCGAAGACGAAGACAATAGGTTTTGCAAAATGAGTTAGGGCGTGAGGCGGCTAGGATTTTTTTACTTTATATTGTATAATATAAGTTAGTACTTTATATATATATATATATATATATATATATATATATAAGCTTTTGAGTCGAGTTAGTTTGAGCTTGGTTAATATACGAACTCGATTACAGGCTCTTGCTCGACTTGCGAGCTCATTAACAAGTCGAGTTCGAGTCGGTTTGGCTCACTTACACCCCTAACCCCTTCCCTCCTTTCAGTTGATGAATGACATAATAGAGGATAAACGACTCATGAACATTTTAAAAACATCCATCAAAGCGCAAGCTTCCAAAATATTTCAATGGGACTTGCCATCTTGCCACTCCAAAACATCCGAACAACATGGAAGAAACATTAATGCAAGCCGGCATAGGGAACTTGCTTGTCCTTCGACTCTTAAATTCTCAAAAGGTGTGGTAGCAACATAATATCTTCTGAACGTGCTGTATCTTGCACTCGTAGGTTTGTCAAATTATCATTGGTAGCGGGAGCTATGGAATTGTGTTGGCTACTACAATGGTATTGAAATTGCTACTACCAACAGAAGACTTTCCTAGTTCTTACAAGCTATCCTGGATTCAAGACAAAAACAAAGTGCAGGTTTCCAAACGATGCTTAGTCAATTTCTCAGTCAGAAAGTTTCAATGAGGAAGTGTGGTTTGATGTAGTACCAATGGATTCCTATCATTTGCTGTTAGGAAGGCCGTGGAAATACCATCGAAAAACTATTCATGGAGTGGTCAATACATAATACTTTCAACATCATTGGGCTCAAATGTTCTTATTGCACTACTCGTTTGTTTCATCGAAGCGGCACTTGACAGCAGAGTGTTTGCTCGATCTGTACTCTTAAGAGAACTACAAGAAGTTAATACGGGGTACCTACTTATTGTGATGGAAGAAATGCTGCAGCCTCATCGATTCCAAATACTATATTGCCCTTTTTGAAGAATAATCGGATGTGCTAGACATTGAGATTCCTACTGGTCCGCCACCATTATGAGAAGTTCAATACGATAGGGGCATAATCCCTGTACTAGTAATGCCCAATCGGCCTGCTGATCACCTAAGGTCAGAAAAACATGAAGAATTGGATCCTCAAGTTGAGGAACTGTTGGCTAAGGGGTTTCTTTGATATAGTGCTAGTCTATGTGTCGTCCTCCACCTCCTGGTGCCAAAAAAAAAAAGACGGTGCTATTCGGATGTGCATAGACAGTCAGATTGTCAACACAATCACAAGTAAATATTGTTTGTGATTCCTCACATCGATGACCTTTTTAATTTGCTTCATAGGTCGACATTCTTCTTAAAAATCAACTTAAGGAACAACCACCATTGGATTTGAAAGCGCACCAGGGATGAATGAAAAACATCATTTAAGACATGGGATGGATTGTATGAATGGTAGTAGTGTTGTTTGCCTTATCTAACGCCTCAAGTACTTTTTTGTGGCTTATGAACCAAATATTTCAGTCGTTTTTGTGCAAAATTGTGGTGGGCTATTTCGACAATATTCTTTCCCACAGCACATGCTCAATGAGAATCTACAATATCTTTGCCAAATCTTTGATGTCCTTTGAAAACTTTGATTATTCGTCTATTCTAGCCAAAACTTGAATGGTAAGATTAATTTTATTTTCATTATTTCAGCTAGGAATCTAAGCTGACCCTATGAAAGTGGAGGCGATAAAAATGTGGCCAATTCCCCAAACATTCATTAAAGTGTGGCGGTCCCATGGGCTAGCGAATTCAAACTTGTATAAATGATTTATTAAAAATTCCAGCACAATTACTTAAACCATCATGAAAATACTAAGGCTAATCACTTTTATTGGGACGAAGCAACCTAATCTGGCTTTAAGTATGTGAAGTAGTAAGGGTGACTATAATGTTCAACAACTTTCATTGTTGCAAATTTAACCCCTTATTATGAACCAAAAACTTCTCCTACCCAAGAGGAATTATGTTGGAGCTGAATGCTATGACGAGCTTGCCTAGTGAATGAATTATGCCAATAAAATATAAATCTTGTATTGCCTTATGCTGTAGCCATAAATCAAGCTCACCTATTTTATATATATATATATATATATATATATGTATATATATATATAATTGGAGAAGTGGTGAATAAAGAAGTTAATTTTGCTTTGGTTTTCATTCAGTTATATGTTTTGTTATTTTCCTATATCTTCATTCTCGAATGTTACAATTAGGTGGTGGATTGAAAGGCAAGAATTTTGTTTCTTGTTCTAGTTCGAGCCCTTAGGTGGATACTCCTTAATGTACCTAGCCGGCGTTAGGAAAACTCGACTAAAATTGATAAAGGACCTTTTATTATTGAGAAAGTATAAAGGACGAGCATCTCATCTTTATCGATGTGGAAGGTCCAAGGCCTATGACCCATAAATGGCCACTACTTCAGTTAGTAGTGCTGCCAGTGTAGGCAAATGATAGAAAGGGGGAATGACATGGTAAGAAAATGATTATATTAAAGGTAAATCAATAGAATGATTGAATTGAAAAATATAAAATTTGGGACTGAAAATTTTGAGTTTAAACCCAAGGTTCTAGATGCAATTTACCCATTGATTTTTGTGTATATGCATATTAATTATATTGCCATTATTTCGTTATTATAGGAATTAAGTGATAGGTGTCTTGCTTTTAATTCTTAATTTATCTTTTTCTTGTTCAGTTAATTATATATATATTTTTTATTTGTAATGCAGGTTTTTTTGGAATCAAGACTTCAACAGAAGTATGAAATGCAAAATTCTATTAATCATTACATTTTTACTGATTCTGATGTAGCAATAGTTAATGATCTTGGACACCTGTTTAAGAATTATCCCGATTTCCACCTAGCTCTAACGTTCCGTAATAATAAAGACCAACCTTTGAATTCTGGATTTATTGCAGTAAGAGGCACGCCAGATGGAATTCGCAAGTTAGTTTTCTAATTCCTTCTTGTTATTTGGCTTTTGGGTTTAGTAATTCCGTCATATCATATTACCATTTTCTTTCAGGTCCAAGATTTTCCTTGAGGAAGTATTGGAAACATACAGTTCTAAATATATAAATGCTTCACGCATGCTTGGAGACCAGTTAGCCCTTGCATGGGTTGTGAGGTCTCATCTCTCATTTATCACTGAACATTTTCGAAAGCCTGAAGCCTTTTCTGCTGAAATTAAGGGAGCATCAGTTCTTTTTCTTCCCTGTGCCATTTTTAATTGGACACCACCTGAGGGTGCTGGGCAATTTCATGGAATGCCTTTGAACGTACAGGTACGCCATAAGTTTTAAATAATGAAATAACAGGTGTTACATGGACGGAACTTTGGAAGTGCTTCTGTTTAGGGTACATACATTCTTCTTAAACTAATTCATTTTTATAATACTCACATGTCATAGGTACTTAAAAAGTCTAATTTCCCATTGTGGAATTGCCCTTAAGAAACCACACTTAGACTCTACAATTCTACAATTCTTGTCATGGTGTCAGGTTTCAAAGAAAATTTTCATATATGTTTCTCCTCTTTCGTTTCTTCTTGTTTTTTGAAATAGAAACTTTTTTAAGTTTCTATTATTTGTTCTGCTCGTGCGAATACACATCTACCACGGTTTCCCCCTCTACGGACAATGGCAACAATGCTCATATTCCATTTGTCTCATATTCTCTTGGGGCTAACAGATGCAACTTGAATTTAACGGGAGAGTTGCAAAACATTCATCTGACATGCTAGTAAAATGAAAATAACTATCGAAAGTTACCGCATTTTATTCACACTTTCCTTAAGAGAGGAGAAAAATGAGGCCATTTATTTGGTATCAGACTTGAGTAAGGATATTCCACATTTCAAGTTTGAGATGAACAATCTATGATGATGTCCTCATTACGGAACTCGTGATACTCACATGTTCCACTGCTCATCAAAGTAAATACACGATATGATAAATCAAACATATTCTAAAGTCCTTGATCTTGTACAATGCTATGAAGTCAAGATCAAGATTTCATCCTTAAAAGCAAGGGGGATGATCCAACACAGAATACTCCAATCTATTGCAAAGCCCTGTGACAAGATGGACTTAGGGCTGCAAATGAACATAGCGTTCGATGAGCTATTTGTGGCTCGGCTCAATAAGAGTTTATTTATGTTCATTTGATAATGTAAATGAATGAGTTTGAATACTTTTGATAAATATTTGATAGCTAAAAATACGAGCTTGAACAAATTGGCATTTGGCTTGTTTATTTTCACGAACATTATCATTTAAAGCTTGTGAACAATTTCGTGTTCGGCTCTAAATAGCTTGAAATGAATAAATAACTTTAAAAATAAATATTGTTAAATTAATTTAACTAACTTAATAATGTAAAAAATTAATGTGTTACTTAAAAAAAAGGGAGTTTAGTCCCACACTGCCTAGACAGGTGTGATTTTGCTCTATAAAAAAACATATAATGTTGATTTACTGAACAACGGGCGGTTGGTGGATTCGGGCTTGTATTTTGGTCAGTGTTGACTCCATAATACTACCTTGTCTATTGCCTGTTGATGCTCATCACTTACAAATATGCTACTGTGACTGTGATAAATTTATTGTATATACTTCAGGCTTCATTGTATACCTTGAGTTATCATGTATATCGTATGTTTAACCCTTATACTTGCAAGGGATAAACATGTATATTTGTCACGGTCTTATTGGAAGCGGTATGAACAATTATTGTAGGCTTCTATATTTATCATGATCATCATAGAGACGTTGCCAGATCTCCAAACTTTACTTATTAGTGTATCACTGCACTATTCACAAATAAGTCATTGTATGTGTTTGGAGTTTCATCATTTGTATGGACGGAGAGTTTGTTCTTCATATATTCTATGATCCCTTGCTAACATTAGCTCATAAGCATGTATTTATCACAAGTCTTCTGATTACTCAATGATCTCCATATTGTTTGTCGCCTCTGAATGGGTTGTATGATTTTGTATCCATCATAAATCCTTGCTTGCTTACATGAGATTCGAATGAATCACCTTCTTTGATTAGCATTTGCAATTTGGAATAATAATTCTTTAACCCTTATTGAGAGCTTAGTGTTATGATTTAAACTCAAGTTTCATTATACTTCAAGTTCCAGGTCTTGTGCGAGTTCACTTCACTAAGTGTCTAAATTAGTTTGAGTCTAAGTACAAGTTCAAGTTATCTTGCCTTTTTTTTTTAGTTCAAAATGAGTCTTCAACATTCGTTTAAGTTCATATATAGCGACATGCTGACATGTATGGTGAAGTCTTGGAAGGATTTAAGACAGCTTATAGAAGGATTGAACTGTCAAAATATGCACTTGAACATAAAATAGCGTATGGGACGTTAGGTGGGCTTTTGAGTGACGAGAAGATCAGATGTAGTGGCAACTGCGGAAACTTGAGTAGTGTGGAAATTGATCACTAGATTAAGAACAACTGCTGGCTGTTTGCGGTAGATCGGAAGACTCGCCTAGGAGAGCTTATCAACAGTGGCTTGGAACCGACAGGCTGGGTCGATTGAACTTGGAGGGGCTGAGCTTGGTCTGTGTGGAAGGGAACGACTTGCTTGAAGACTTAAGCAGATAGGTAAGGGCTTCAGCAGGGGCTGAAGACAGGAGGAAGAGTATATGTGCTGATGACCCGTGGAGGAATCATAACTCTTTTGTTGGAGCGGAAGACAAATAGGAGATTTGAGGAAGAAAATAGAGCTCAAGTGGATATGTTTTTTTTTTCTTGCCATTCATATCAACGGGACTTTGCTTTGTTTTGACGACGGAGTCGCGACCATCTAGGTAGGATTTGACGGAAGGGACAAGATCTCGATGCAACGAGGTATCAGCATTGAATGACATTTAATTGGATTTTGGCTTTTTCCATGTTTAGTCTCTAATTTTCTATTACAATTTTTTTAAGATAAATTCATATTAGTGAGGGATTATTAATTCCTTGATACAAAGTGGCGGCCATGGCTTAATCAGTTTAAAATTGTCTCGATTTGCGTGCCAACTGTATAGTTTAACGTGTCAAATTTGTTGAATATCAAAATTAGGCAAATTAATAGTGGATTTAGGGTATTGCTGATGTTCCGGTCGTAATGATGCAGTCCATTTTACGATCGGACATCATTCGGGCGACGCCGAGGCGTAATTCTCTCGAAATGCATGTTATTTTTTGGAGCTATCTCGATTTACGTGCACAACCTCATTCGAACAAATTGGCAGTACATTTAGAGTATTAATGGCGTTCCAGACACAACGACGAAGTCCGTTTCGAGATCGGATTTTGTTTGGGCGATGCCGAGGGACATTTTCCTTAATATGTTGTTTTACTTCGAAATTTGTACAATCAATTTGGATGATTCAAATTAAACATAGAAAATGTGATTCTTGAGTATTCGTGATATTCCAATCTCAATAGCAAAATTCCTTTTGCGAACGGACATCATTTGGATAGCTACAAGGCTGATTTTTCTCGAAATTTGTGTTGTTGCTTAGGGATATGTACCACCAATCCGGATGCTTCAAATTGAATAAACAAAATATAGTTTTTAGATGTTGACAATAATCTGGATGCAATGTTGAAGTTTGTTTGTCGATCCGACATCGTTTGATCAGCTTCGAGCTTTAATTTCGGGTGTCAATCGTCCTTTTTAATCGATCTCATCTAACTCGACCGTGAGTGGCCTCGGCCTAGCATAATTTGATGTCCTGATCGCAATGACGCCATCCGTTTGACAATAAGAAATCCTTTTATTCTTTAAGTGATGAGTTCCGTTAAAGCGTGCATCGCCAAATTTGCCAGTTTCGCTCTCCTTGCGCGTAGTTTGAGTTGTTGGGGTCAACAATTTCCCCCCAATAAATGTGGTACGTGTCTAGAGCATATCATGTTTGTTATAAGTCGGTTGACGATTCTTACTAGTCTCCCATCATTTTTTTCTTTGCATTTTTTGTCATTATTATAACTATTTTTTGACGCATTTGTATTTTCTCCTTGTGTAAGAGATGTTTTGTTGGCAGAGACCCGACAACATTTCACCAGGTGAGCCTAGTGAGGCTGCCATCTGGGATGCGATTGACTGGCAGAATCACCAAAGTAGTGTTAATGTTTGGGACATACTAGAGCAGCACCCGGATATGCTGCGAGGGTGGGACGTCTTCCGCAGTTTCTTTGTCCGCTCCCCCTTATTTCCAGAGTTTTCTAGTGATTATGTTGCTTTTGAGGATCCGGATAGTTGGGTAACTAGTCTCAGACTACAATGTAGGAAGTACCACCCGCAGGAGAGTTCCATTGCACCATTGAGCTGGGGGACCTGCGACGTTTTAAAGCCAGCAATTGATGTAGTAGAGCCTGTTGGGCAGTCGAGACTTCTTAGTCAACAACAATTACAATCAACACTCGTGGAGTGTCTGAGGGACACTCCAAAATTGGGCAGATGAAGAGTCCGGTCAGGGCTTATGTTTTTTGGGCACGCTACGTTCTTCAGACACACAGAGGTATACTGCATATAGTGGGGATTTGCGAGACAGTTTACACCTCATTGTTTGACTACGGACGCCTTCCTTCCTCTTGGGCCTGAGGTTTAGTTGAGTTTTAGGCCCATGCAGAGGTACTTGCTGGATCGGAGCAGAGGAGCTCACGATCACTCTTTCAGACCTTCAGGCAGTGTCAGGGCTACCAATTTTTTGTCACTATTTCGATCCCTCCGGATGAGCAGTTATTTTAGCAGGTCCTTTCAGCAGGCGATGATATGAGAGGGAGGTTAGTACTGCCAGATATTTACCCTGTTTATCTATTACACCACATGTAGACGTACAAGGCGTCAGATTTGTCATGGTGTGCCAGAGTTTTCATGCGTGTGGATGTTTGGATACGCAATTTTCTTCAGGAGAGGCACTTGTCTACTATTGGGGTTTCACTGTACTACCCTTTTGGACTTAGTTTGCGGTGTGGTACACCGTTGTCAGAGGAGACCATTGAGCTCACCTCTACTTCTGACCATACTTCCCCAGGGTTGCTAGGTGTCAGAGATGACTTATTTTTGGTTGGGTTTTTGGCCACTTGGCTCTGCACCTTCATACTCTCAGTTAAGACAGGCTCTTTGAGGTGCAATGTTCTCTTAGAAGCCAGTCAGTTATCACAGGGGCAAAGGCTCTCACTTGCTCCAGTTGTACTTGCTAGAGTTTACAGAGTTCTGTGTACCCTTTCTTAGGCGAGTTCCCTTGAGGTACGTGACCCAGTTTTGCCGTAACA